ATAGCTGTCTCAGTCCTGACCATCTACTCAGTTATGCGTGCCATGATTGGGCCACGCCCAGTGTGTACAGGTCACGCCTGGCAACCAAAGGTTCCGTTTCGGTACTCTCTAGTTTCCCTCGCCTCTGTGGCACGTTTGGTTATCCCCTTTAACCATCATCACTACGGTTCCTGTATCCATCAGGTAAAGGCCCCGATAACGAGCATGATGGATAAGTGAGCAACGCGAGGCACACGAATAACTATCGGGGTATTCTGAGGAGTATAAGATTTGCTCACATTTATAGTGTATCAACATTTCTACTTGAGCACTCAAGGTCCAAAGATACACAGAGTACCGCAGATAACGTCTACATAAACTCCATCGATGATTATAGCAGGTTAGGTGGTCTGTTATACACTACTATGTTACATACAGAACTCACAAGTGACTGTAGTTCTATCAATTTAAACGAAAGATCAACGAAAGCCTAAATGCTGTTAGTATCTCTTGGACGTTTGGCTTTATAATGACCGAGAATGATCCAGATTAGAAAGGTTCTCGGATTTTGTGGAACGTGACGTGGGCAGTTTTTGGTAGCTATCTATCTTCCAATACATTTTCTTCATTACTGAGCTCATTCTTGCAGCACCATTTCCATCCTTTTGCTTTTCTTTCCAACTGGACGACTGACAAGGTATTAATGGAAACGAGCTAACCAGGACAGTGCCGAAAGTCGCTGCGGAGAACGGTAACCCACAGTCGGTTAAATACACACAAAAAACAGTTTTGGTAGCTTCGCGGACAAAAGTAGTACGTGCCGTCGCTTTTTCTATTCTATAATACTACATCAGCCCTGTTCCTATTTGTACCCGCTTCCATAGACGACCATGTGTGAGGGGTGGAACAAGTAACGAAATCCAAGGCCCATCTCTTACCATGGTTACTCACAGAGACAGGTTGCCATAGATGCACAAGAACGCAACAACCTTGGTGGGGGTTGAGCAGCGGGTTAGGCAAAAGATTTCCGTTCACTGCTGTGTCTTCCCATTAGTTCACTAAGGGTAAAACTGAAGTTATGTAACTGAGGGGTACGCGTATCAACAATGTTTAGTGCCACCATTGACCCTCCATTTGTTTAGGTCTAAATATCTCTTTAAGCTGTAATGTAATTTTAATTACTTCTCTGAAATTGTATTGCTTCCCAGTGGCGCCAGTTATGAAGAGAGGTATGCTTATTTGGGCAGTTCGTTAATAGAGAACTTTACAATGAACAATGATTTATCACGGAATAAAAGCAAGTGCTTGACACGTCCCGTAGGATGGTTGGGGTGAATATGATGAAATCAAAATATGTCTGAGTCATCTATCGAACGTCTGCCGAGATGAATACTTGGACAATTAAAATTAGTGTAAAAATTAAAAAAAATTATCAAGCGTAAATGTTCAGAGAGACACTGGGGTGCAGTGATCGTTGATGTAAGGAGTGAGAAAAGTAAAATAGATGAATCGATTCTATAAGTAGGACACAGTACCGGTTAAGTGATCTCAAAGTCGAACGAACCCATTCTATTCAGTATGAGCCACTGCGTGATACACAACTTAATTCCTTCACGGACAGGTAAATAGCTACTACAGACAAACAGGAGGTGGCATATCTGACACTGTTATTACAATTTAGTCGAGTTTAGGTGCAGATTAACAAAATTATCCTCACAAGAGCACTGTAGTATGCACATATCACGGATGCGTGAATCCCGAAGTTTCCCACTGAGGGTAGCTGATCAATTTCTAAAGGCTGCTATGTACAGATGCTTCAAATTGAAAGCCATACGAACACAGACCATACACATCATCATACTAAACTACGTCACGCTCTAGTGAGACCGCACACTATGCCAGAGAACAATGAACTACTATGCACGGCTCCGGATGGTATACATCGGCCAACGGAATAAAAAACGAAACAAAAGATTGGAAAATGGTTTCAAACGAGTAAAAATGTTAAAGCGTGACAGGTTCCGTAGGATGGTTTTGGTGAAAGTTCAAAATATAGAAGATTTGTCAGAAAAATTAATCCACATCGAAGCCCTCGATTATACGGCAACTTAGTGAGAGGAATTCATAAGCTTCGGAGGCTAGCCACTGTCATCTGTTAAGGTAGCAGCCTGCGTTGCGGTGGAAGATAGGTCGTGCTATATCCTTGTTAGTTTGCAAACTACGTAGCCCAAATGACGTCCCCATTGGCTCAGGGGCTTAAGCCGCTGGCTAGTTGGCACCTGCCCCAGTAGGACGAAACGAGTCTGGTGCTTTTCTGGACTAGGCTGTGCTATGCAGCTTGTGAGCTGCTGGAACCACAACATAAAAATTACAATTAACATCTCGAAAACAGTGCAGTGTTGTGCCAAGCGTTGCCCGTGACCCGGTGGCTTAGCGGTAACGGTCACAACTAACATCGCGATGGTCCCGGGTTCGATGCCTGCTAACTCTATCTGATGAGATGTAATAACATCGAAACGCGTCATAGTAGTGCAGTGTTTTCGGGCGGAAGACGCCCAACTTATTTTTGCATCAGCTACGGTCATCGTGATCGAAAAACCAAAGTTCGCTACAATGGGAATCGCGGTCAACATTGAGATTGCGCGTTGCAATCCATCCACACAAAATGTACTTCAAAATGACCCTCAACATCGTACAATTAACACCATTCTACCTTAGTAAAATTATATAAATCTTAGACATTCTTGGTTGCCCTGCGTTTGGATATCTCCAAGATGGTGAGATCTCTCGTCAGCCATGGCTGCCAGAACTCCACATTTCGAAATATTTACAGTCTCACCTCTTTAAAATGTATTGCAAACAGTTAATGCTGCGGTAAGATATGAGTTTAAAACTTAAAGATCTATTTTTCACGTTTTTGTAGATGCACTTTCAGAACATGTGAGGTTCTAGTCAAGGCAAGATTTTAGCAAAAAAATGTATTGATTTTCGCACATCACACGCGTTCTATCGTGGTGCGGCTAAAAGTCAGGTTGAAGTGGCAATCATTGGAAAGTGGCTGTTCCGATTTGTCGTCGATAGCGAAAGACATTCACTTGTGTAATGAAATGGGTAATAAGTATCCAATGGATAGTTACCCAGATGCGGTGGGTTCGATGAGGTGGGTACGTAGACTGCTGGGATGCCTGAAAACCCATTTACACATATCATGTGGAGCAATTACCATTGCACGTACGCGATAATATTGATGACAAGAATTTTTTGAGATACCGTTCATATCTATCTTTGTCGATAGACAGTGTTGACGCAATTTATAATCTTGAGAAACATACTGCCACTAACATGTCAGCATCCGGGTGGCGCACCAATAGTAACGGGAACGCCCATTTGATCTAATAATACTTGTAGCTTACAGTTGCTTACAGGTTTTAAGTACCGCAACCAATTCATTAAGAAACAATCTAACCCTACGAGAAATCTGTGGGGTTAAGTTTTCTGTCATGCAGTCTTGAAGGGTGAAATCGTATGGAAATAGCAGTATTGATGATTTGTTGAACAGCCGTATGATTCCACCGTCACCACACTTCGTGCAGGAGGTGTGCAAACCGTCAACATTCCTGAATCGTCTGTACGGAGTTTTGTCACTGTAAGAAAACTGGTACTTTACTTCCCGGTTGTCATTTACGAGGAGAGTTTTCAAATCACTGCAGTTTGTGTGGTCAAAGCTGCAAGTGGTCATCGCATAACAGCTAAAGATGGAACACAGTTAACGATCAGTCAAATCAAGGCAACAATGCACTTTATGCACCTATGCAGATTGAATATTCAGCTACAACACACACACATACGCACAAATAAAATTAAATGAAAATATGACAAATGGTTATGGTGATATCATCGATTCATTCTGACAATAAGGTCTGGTTTGATTGCATCATGTGCCTACAACAAACGTGACAAATAGGAACTTACGAACGTACCGTAAGCCCGTGTGCGATCACAAATGGCTTTATACTTGTGTCTGATGGAAGACGTCGAGATACATTCGGACAATGTGTACTGGAGAGGGTGACTAGCATTAGTGAATATTTTGGACGCCAGCTTTTAGCAGAACATGACTGGACATAATGATGTCAATAAACACTCGAATGGAAATTCCGCAGCATCGAGCAAGACTTCAGCGACCTGCTGATCACTTTTAATTGCCCGTTTGAGAGTCCAGGAAATATCACTTGTGAGCAATACCTCCAGTGCGGTATTACGCAAGCGGTGCCAAACCGTAAACTCGATGGACGAGACACGGATAAAGAGTTAAGTCGGAAGACTTAGAACGCTAGTTTGCTGACTTTAGTGGATGTTTCGTTCACATGATGGGACCACGTGAGATCCCGACTAAGTGTAACAGCAAGATATTTCACAAATGTACAAGTGTTTGGATTGACACTGCCAATACTAAGATGCGAGGTGTTCGTCAAGAGTTCTTAAGAACAATTTTCCTTGGACAGCGAGAAAATAACATTTTTACAGTTTGATGCGTTGAGTGAAAGACAACGGGATTCGGACCTAGAGGTGAGGTTGTCCAGAAAGCATTGCACGCTGGTCGATGAATCTGTGGGGTGATTGTGCACACCGAGGATCACGTAATCAGCGCAGTTTAGCAGGATGGCATTTTTAGGAGCGGAAATGGAGTTAATGTAGGTGGAATATAGAAATGGGGACAATATTGTCCCCCAGAAGAACACCTGATTTTGAGGTAGCCGAGGAAGAGCTTTTCCCTCCAACCTTGGTAAACGGCACACGATTGGCAAAGTAGTCTGTAAGAAAAGACACTAATAAAGGTTGAACTCCGGATACTGGCAGATCGTTTAACAGTAGTTCACGGTGTACACAACCGAAAGCATTACTGTATTCTAGGAAGCAGATCCGTGTGGGTTTCGTTTTTACTATCCGATCAAATGCATGCACACAGTCTGATGTTGGTCGATAGGGTCATGATGCAATTTGTCGCAGAATAAACTTACACTGAAGCGCCAATCCAGCTAAGTGAGCAGCCACAGGCTTCGACACGGGAAGCCGTCCCTCGAGTATATCCTTCCGAACTTGCAGAAAAAATTGATACCTGAGTAAAACAAAATGGATAGTTCTCAACGTCATATGATAACTATGCCCATTCACATGCTCAGAAAATGTACCACCTCACAAAATGAAACGATTTATTTGCAGCAATAATAAAGCAAGCAGTAGAACAAAAAGCATATTCGCAGACTGTACTTTAATGAACGATGGGCTGGACATGATTGAGAACCGCTTGATTGATTCTGAACAAAAAACTCCATTTTAATATCATTGTGAATAAATCGGATTTATTCAAGCCTGTTGATCTGTCCATTAAGTTGCAGTTAGTTGCTATCGCCTTTAAAATTGTCCATGGCCATAAGTGTAGCGGGTTCACACACACAATGGGTAGTCAGGCAGACAAATTAGACTTATTGAAATCCCTGCTGGCATGTTTAAGTGTCGTATTATTCCTATTTCATATGATCATGCGAAAGCAACAACAACTTTCCTCTTTTTCTTGTCCAACATCTGCTTAGGCCCCCATGGTGTGGGGCTTGCGTGCATGGTTGGCGGCAATCGGTTCCGGATTTGTCCGTCACCACGGCCTCCATAGGACAGCCGCAGGACGCATGCGCCTAATGAGGGATCAGGGGTGGCTTGCGCTGCACGACCCACAGATGCAAACACACACATCTAATGTGAACTCGAAGAAATACGACCGGGAGGCATGTGGATGGGAGCCACGTTTCATCAACAGAGCCGGCCGACACTCCTTCAACATGCACAACATCAGCATTCCTGTCTAGCTACGTTGGGAATCATGCGTACCAGACATACACTAGGCTGGGCTACTTATATACACATAGATCGGTGGCATCCGGTTTCGGATTTGCCAGTCACTGCGGCCTCCTTACGAAAACCACAGGACGCCTGCGCCTACAGAGGGACCGTGGGTGGCATGCGCTGCAACACACACAGCTCCATTCACATGCCCCATATCGAGCGTAAACCCGAAGAAATAAGACCGGAAGGCATGTGGATGAGTTCCACGTTTCATCGACGGAGTCTGCCCACACTATTTCAACATACACAGCAGTAGCATTCTTGTCTATCCATGCAGGAAACCATGCGTACCAGAAGTGCACAAGGTAGTGGCTGGGCTGTAGTCCGTTCCACGCTGGATGGAACCACTTTTTGGGCCTAGCACGACCACTAAGACCGTGCATCCCGTCCCCCCAGCAACGATACACGGTCTTCTGGAACCAGTAATTTAGATGGAGAGTGTTGGACAGGTTGGCACCTTGTCAATCTTCACATCACGCGCAACCACACCAGGGATATCAAGCGAAATTGACACGATATATACAACAGAATGACAGAAATGAACGAACCAAATAAAGTGGAATGAACGGTAACCAGATTAAAAAATCTAGATTGAGGGTAACTTGGTTTAGCCCATTGTGGTAAAGAAGAATCATGAATGTAACACCAATGTCAGCATGATGTTGGGGTGCATAGTTCCGTAGCAACAGGCAAACCCACATCGACCATTTGCTCAAAGAACAGCAGTTTTCATAAAGACTTACAATTAGTGGACGCTTGTTCCTCACCGCTTCCAAGAATTTGGTTGTAATTTTTCCTTGGTGGTAATTCTGATAATGATTACTGTACTAGGTGATAAAGGGTGAGACTCTATAGCCTAGTGTACTGTTTGATCAATCCGCATGCCAAACTCTCTGTTGATGATTATACTTACTGGGTGGTGAACTAGAAATAACTCAAAATCATGGTGCATTCCATTGGCTGTTCAATTGTGAAGTTGCTTCCTTACTGGCAACTTGATTGCAGTTTTAAACAAAACAAGCAGACGGTCAAACAATGAACACAAGTCGACGATCCATCCCCCATCCTACTCCATCCAAACTGCAAGGAGTCCACTCTTGTCGTAGTTGCATTTGTTACCCAATGAATAATCGAGATGAAGCGCATTTTAGAACATAGATAAGTAAACAGCGGAATAGTAGCTGCTGACATCCATCGCTGGATTCAGCTTCTATCAGCACACACAAAGAACACTTTAAACCCCTTTGCAGTGATGGTGTTCTCTGGAATGACAAATCGTTGTCATCAAGTTGCTCATCTCGATGAGCAATGCTGCAACTGATGTGGAGTACCAGCAGTCCCTAGTTGAATTCAACGAGTGGAACAACATGTTCCGGTTTCCACTGCAGACTAAACGATAGGTATGACCACTGATGCAATCCATAAAATTTGATAGCTGCACGCCGTTCCTGTACTCGATAATTCCCGTACTATATATTTTAACCGGAACTGATTCGTTAACGGTGGTCGTCACTGTGTACCAGTTTGGATAACTTTGCTACGGACTGCAAATCACAGTATGATCTCCGCATAACCACGACTGGTTTGAGTCTGTTGGCGGTTGAGTAAGACCGTACTGAAACTGCAACTGGAATCTGGTGCCTAACGAGGCACCTTTACAAGTGTGTGTCAAGCAGGTTCATCCAGCAATGAGGTCTGTAAATGTAAGGTAAGTAGTAAGCTCGTCAAGCAACGTAAAAGTTGTCGATGGAAGGGTATTGAAGTGAGACATTGAAACGTTTACGCTGCATGATTTCATTGAGATGGGTACTCCTTGTGATCCTGTCTAATTCGTACATCGCATTTAGTGTTTTGCTAATACATGTTGAATAAACCTAAAAATTAAGCTCCCAGTGCTATTGTGTACAACAGATGCACTCACGAAACGTCATCGGAGGTGATGGGGACAACCGTTCGAACTGTGTTACTATGCGCTGCTGCACGAAAGAAATGCACCCTCATCTATCACACAATCTGTAGTATTACGCTACCGCGTCCAGAATCCATTACCTAGTTCAGTAAAGTGCACTCTGGTAAATTTTACAAACAAAGTTATCGGATGGTGACACACGTTTTATGGCTGGCTTGGAAGACAGTGATTGTGATCGATTTGTTGTCAGTTAACTAATAAGCGCATCCTAACTGATCGGCCATTTATGTCCCTGATTCTCAAATTACACCGAAATGTGTGAGTAAACCAGCCCTTGGTATGTAGAATCTACAATGTTGTTCAATGCTAGCGTACAACCGCTTGTGGTCACATAGCGGTGAGGCATTGGCACTGTCGTGCTCCTGATCTAGTTGTTATTAAATGAAACGGTTGCAAACAAGGATGTTTAGCTTGTGTTCGACAGATTTGCAACCTTCACAACTGTGCCACTTCAATGCCGATGCTTAGTAAAGTTTTCGAACTAGGACTGCGCCAATGATCAAAGACCTGTAACCTCATGAATATAACGGAGATATGGTTACGCCCCGACGTAAGCGACATCAAGATCGCAATGCTTAGCATGTCCATGGTTGGTACTACCGACCAAGCAAACAGTGATGGGTCGCTCTGTGTTTCCGCATTAACCTCCAATGTGAGTTTATAGAGGACCCGGTCAACACAGTGTAGGATTCTTCTTAATGCCGTCTACGTTAAAGAGGTGATGATGCCTGCTTAGTGGCGGTAGTTTACCGCTCTCCCTCGTCCACGCTCGAGATGAACTACTAGCTGGCATCCGAACAAAGAAGGGCGATAAACACGACTTACAGTCATGTCATTATTAATGGCGATTTCAACACCCACCCACTGGAATCCCAAGCAGCTCTTGGAGGACAGTTCAAGGCGCGTCTACAAATGATTGTCTGCAGTTTCTCGCAGTATGGTTACATCAAAACTCCGACCATATTCAGATAAACTAATAAGCCCCCTATACTGGATAGGATATTCACCAAGAAAGAACTGATGACCAAGAAGGTTATCGTCAACGCAACGTTAGGCCGCAGCGATCATGCAGTCTTACCCTTCGTCTACATCCGTTATGCAGAATCTCCCGCGGAAATTGCCGATGCAACCAGAACGTTTATACACTACGACATATTAGCTCGATTAGGTGAGACAGCCAACTGGATCTTCCTGACAATACGGAGCATCGACTAGTGCGTGGCAACAGTTCGTCAGCCAGTTTAACACTCTGGTTGCAGAAGCATCACAGAATAGGTTGTCCATCCAAGAAACTTGGTATCGTTTGTGCGAAGCTGGACACGTAAGTGTGCGGCGGTGTAGAACTCGGCTTGGTGTATACATATGATCACTCCGAGCACCGATACCTGCATAGCCTACGTGACCGAACGTAACCACTGTGCACAACTTATTCGCAAGGATAAAATGGCATACCAACAGAAGTTGACATTGCGCATAGTCTAAAATCAAAGTCGCTGTATCAACACGTGAACAATCTATGTAAGGTGAAACGGGGAATTCCTCCTTGTCAAGCATCGGACGGACCCACAAGGACACCGAAGGATGCGGCAAATACCCCGCACCTGCAATGTGTTTCACATCATTTCAGTGCGATCAGTAGCCACCTAAATTTAAGCCGATGGTTGTCTCACCCAAAAAACTCAATCATATATCCTTCACCGCAGACACTGTACTAAAAAAGCTGTTGAGTATGTGTAAGCACAGCTCACCTGGACTTGACAACATTCCATGAAACGCACTTGCGGTACAAGTCTACGGCTTAGCTGAGCATTCGGGTTGATTCTTCCAACACGGTTTTGAAGAAATGTACATGCTTGACAGGTGGAAACATGGGAGGAATACTCCTATTACCAAGGGAAGTAGTCGGCCCGTTCCAGTCAATCATCGTCCCGTTATCCTTCTAGCGTACTTTCAAACGTCTTGGTAGCCATTATTGTCGATGGGCTGACGGCCTAGTTGGAAGAATTTACCTACTTTGCAACAGGAAAACATGGCTTCGGACGAAATTGATCGTGCAGTACAAATATATTGTTATTTCGATCCAGCTGAACCGAAGCAGTGGAAACTGGGGCAGGTGTTGAGATAATTGTTCTCGACCTATCTAAGGCATTTCACCGGTTAGACCATGGTATGCTGCTCTCCAAACTTCAGACCTTTGCCATTGGCGAACCTCTCCTAGGGTGGATCAGATACTATCTCCTCCAGCAGCACTTGGAGGTAACAGTGCCTGAATAGCTACCAGATC